AAAATCTATTAATCAATCAGCAAAAAAGATATATCAGTCAGCCGAGTATTCTCAGAGCTCCTTCAAACTTACATAGTAAATATGGCTCGTTAATCTAGAGCCATGAATGTACTTAGGGTGTGAGAAACAGTAATAATGTCTCATTGATCTAAGTTTTATTACCAGTCAAAGACACCATTAAATGTCCTGCGACCCTTGAAAATATCTCTAATGACACTAACATGGGTTGTAGTTTGAATACCAGGGCTTAAAACACCAAAATAGGCACGTTCACATAAGTTAATAGCTAGGTTCACATTCAGAATTTAACGTGATCTAGTGGATCATGATCAAGCCAGTCACTTTATGTGAACCAAACAGGATTAAATAACGTGCTCAGCTTAATCACCTTATTGTGATCTAGTGGAGCATGTTGATTCACCATGATTAACCTTGGTTAACGTGATAAATTAATTCATGAGATTGAATTCAACCAATCAGCCTTCAGTATATTAAACAGGTACCAACCTCATTGGTTGTGCTTCTGGTAGATCTTAACCTCATTGGTTGTGCTTCTGGTAGTTTTCATGCAACACTGCACGCATTAGCATAAATAGATCATGATGATGGTTTCTATATGAACGGTTTTCTCTAACATGCTAAAGTTATTATGATGAAAAGATCATGATAAAATCCACTAAATACGGCCTTAAATTTGTCGGAGATTCTCGGCCTCTGTACCCAGCGGGGGCCCTACACAGCCTAAGCCTAAGGCTCGCAGGCGCACCCTGTCCCTCCCCTCCCCCTTACAGGCCTTTAAATAACCTATCGATAAAAATATGTTTTACTTTTTTTTATTTTAAATCTGTAACAGTGTAAACCTTCTTATTATTTGTATTAGGCATATGCAACAATTCGAGGACTGCTTTGAATGCGGCACTTTCATTCGTTAAGGGAAAAATCATAACTGTTGGAGGTAAAATCGATCGGGCGTTATATGCATTCAAAATCACTAAATTGTTAGAGCTTCTGGGGGCTTTTCCCCCTGGATCCTCATAGTTTCTGCGACATCGTCCTCCCCTGCAGTTGTGCAAATAATTTGGCGCCACTAATTTTGTTTTGTGATGGTTTTACACAAGCAAGAAATGAAAGATCATCAATAAGCAAGAAATAGTGAAAATGAAGTTTCTTAATTCTTCTTTAGGTAAAATATTAAATCAATCTGTTGGTACAGAAATTAATTTAGTGTCCTAATATTCTGCTGTAGTGCGGTACACTTTAAAATAGAATAGAATTTAAAATTGCCAAAAAAACTCCAAAGGTCTGTGCAGCCAACCGGTTGGCCACAGCATCTCAGAAGAAATGTTACCTTAGGTTCACAAAATTTGCTTAAAACTCGGAGATTTATCTTTGGCCCGTGAGATCAACTCTAAAAATATTTGGGCCCTTCAAATAAATTAATTAAGGACTAGGGAACTATCAATTTTTACAAAAATGCTACCACATAAATATAATTTTCAGTAAATCATGTCCAAAATAAAGGAAAAACATACTCTGACACTGATCTAATGACACTGCAATAATGACGCAAAGTGAGGGTATCGAAAACACTCTTAATTATCTTGAATATTAACTTGTCTAACGCAAATATTAGCATCTTTAAGCTGGAGGATAAGAGTTCTGAAACTGGGCCTGCAAAGCCGCCCAAAAATGTTAGAGTACTGTATAAGATTTTATAACTTTAAAACTATACCGTAAATACTCGAATAAGCGCCGAGGCGCGCAAATTGTTTTTTCGTAGGTAAGATTGGTAAAAGTTCATGCATTATTCAGAACTCTTATAGACCCCTGGTTCTTAATAGGCAGCCCGCAAGGCAATTTACTTTGGCTCGTGAGAAAAAAATAATAAAAAATATATTTAAAAAACATATTAAAAGTTAGAGGAATAAATATTCAATAACGTAAAGACAAAAATGCAACCCCTGAGCAATGTGCACGGGGATGGTTCAAAATGAGCAAGATGATATAGGCCTACGCCATAAATAGAATAAATAGCGCCAAAATCTGGTGATTCTTCACTATGTCTTTCGAACGAGCTAAAAAAATAAAATAAAATAAAAACCGCGTTATGATGTACGTAAGGGTTTACCCCCACGCCAAGTCCTGTCTGTGTATTGTTCTGATCACTGTGTTTCGTCAATTGCCGTTTTTTCAAGGCATAGAGTATTAATGTAACTTACACCGAATTTAGTGCCCCAAAGTTTCGTCTCTGTATTTTGTTCTGTTCATTGTGATTCGTTAACAGCATTTTTTACTTTACAGGGGTAATAAAAAGTTGGTGTACCAAAAGACAGTCCTCGTAAAAATACATTTCGCTAGTCCTGTATTCGTACTATGTACATATGCGGAAAACATTTTGTATTTTTCAAAAAAAATATGTCCAGAAACAGATTTCAGGAATTTTAGATAGAGGGAACCCAGAGAGGAATTTTCACAAATGGGTGGGGGGTATACTACCTTAGCCCCACTATGGTTTGGGTTGAGGGAAGAAAATGAATGATTATGGCATCTCTAGAGGCCGGAAATGGCACTCTAGAGCTATGGGTGGTCCGGGCCGGCTGCGGCTCCCCCCCCCCCCTTGAAGCCACTACTGATGTCGAGACTTGTAGCGTACGGTAGGTTCTTATATTGTGGTCAATTACATTGGTAATAAAGCGATCAGCAAAGTTGACTAACGACTATTGAACTGATGACACGTCCTCACAGAAATTTCTAGCTACGACCCAATTTTGGGTTTAGACCGCTGGTCAGGGACGTAGCCAGGATTTTGAAAGGGGGGGGGGGAGCTGTTATGCAAATTACCGGCGGGGTCAAAGAGGCGAATCCCCCTGTGAAGTAGCGCACTCTGAACGTTCTTAGGACTGTTTGAGAGGATAAATTGAAAATTGCAATAGACGCATTATAAATAAGCGCAAAAATAATTATATAATAAATCAACAGTGGCAGATCCGGGAATTCGAAAGAGAGGTGAACCAGGGAGGGACTTTCACAACCCGAGGAACAACCCACCTCAACCCCACCATGGTTGGGGCTGAGGTAAGGAAATTTATTACTAGGGAATCTCTAGATGGCCGGAAATTACACTCTCGCACTTCAATTTGAATATATTTTTCTTCTTTTTTTCATTAAAAAAAATGAAGGTGGGGGGCCTTAAATCCACCTCTGCTAAAAACATTCTTTATCCACTGCCAGAATAGTCATAATCACAAAAAATGGACATGAAAAACCAGATCACATCCTAAAAACAAACAGCAGTCACTAAGACATACATCAAGAGCCGATTCGATGGAGTTCAATGTCATACCCAGGGAAGGGCACAGACCTGTTTTGAAAGGTGGAGGGGGAGGGCATTTTCTGAGTCGACACCCACCTCAGCCCCACAATGGTTGGAGCTGAGGTGAGAAACTTTGAGGAAATAGTACCTCTAGATTGCCAGAAATGACACTTTTAATAAAATCATCACCATTAGTCAAAATGAAGTGCCAAAAAAATTCTCATGATCTTTTAATTAGGATTTTTGACAACCATAGAGATCTTATTAATGTGTGTGTGTATACCATAGAAAACAAAGCTTAAAAACATTGTCTTTGAGTATGTACTTTACATAGGCCTACTTCAAAAACGTGATTTCTTAACTACCTCAGCCCCACCATGGCTGGGGCTGAGGTGAGAAAATTTGAGGAAATGGTACCTCTCGAGATGGCCGGAAATGACACATTACCATTATAGTCAAAATGAAACGCCAACAAATTTCTCATGATCTTTTATCAGGAATCTACTATCCAGGATAACTTAGGCCTAATTATAGCTTACTAAGCTTTAACTATATATACTATAGTATGGTCAACAATTCACAACTTTTTTTTTCGCATTTAGCACAATTTTCTTCACTTTTTATTGCTATTAATATTATTATCAATTATTACTCTCGTCATCATTATCATTGTTATTATTATCATTATTACTATTAGTAGTAGTATTATTAAACAAACATGATCAGAAACTTGCAAAACGATAAAAACGAAATTAAACCACAGTATCGCATTTCTATCTTAAAAGA